TTTTTTTTTTTTTTTTTTGGTACCAAGGATCGAACTCAGGTCCTTGTGCTTGCGAAGCAGGTGCCGGAACCACTGAGCTAAATCCCTGGCCCATAAGGACCTATTTTGGAAAAGATGAGTCAGAAGGTTCTGGCCACTCAGGTAACTGAGGGCTATCTATAATATTAATCATAGCATATTGTTTATCCCTTGAAGAGGTATGTAGTCATTCTGTCTTTGTCTTGAGCCCTGGCCTTCAATGAATGTATCTCCAGCCATAGTTGTATTTTGTTCTCATCTTCTGCATTGACTCCCTCGAGGGCCCAGCCCCATCTGACTGTCCACAATATTTCTACCTAACTTAGCTGTCTATAATATTTTCAGTCTTATTTCTTGGATTCCTTATTCATGGCCCAGGAGAGGGGTGCATGTCACCCATCTGCAGAGTCTTCCCAACAGAACTAACAAGGAAATGAACAAGGGTCCTAATTAGCAGGAGATAACCCAGCAGTGCAATGCAAATCCTTTATAGTCAGCTGCATCCTTCCCACAGGCCCTTGTGCTGGCAGAAGTTTCGGATGTTTATAGAGCCTTCATTAACAAGAGCTCCCTTAGATAACGGGCCTGGCCCAGCACTGAGGCCAGATAAGAACAAGTGGAGGACAGTCTGGGACTCAGGGCAAGCCTGTGCTTCCTGGGGGCTCCCAGCAGATCACTCAGCAGGACGATGCAAGCCCTAAGCTCCCTGGCTCCTTCTGGCACCCGGTAACACGCTACTGCCACTCTAGCCGCACGGCCTACTCTCCAGGGCCCAAGATGTCTTCTGGGGCCCTGTGGGTGGCCCTGCTCGTACCATCCCTGCTGGCCTGCCCCTTGCAAGGGAGGCCATTGCAGAGTGGATGGCAGGCATTGCCAGGGGAGCCTGGCAGTGGTCGGCAGGAGGGCACCGTGGACCTAACAGTGCTTCTGGAAAACATGAAGGTGGATTTCTTGCACAGCCTCAACCTGAGCAGCGTCCCCTCCCAAGACAAGACCAAGCTGGAGCCACCGCAGTACATGATTGACCTGTATTACAGGTACACCTCTGACAAGTCATCCACCCCAGCCTCCAACATCGTGCGCAGCTTCAGTGTGGAAGGTACAGTTGGGGCCTGAGGGGGACATGCTAGCCAGGCAGCCCTGCGTAATGGGGTGATATCTGGCCCCATGCAACCCTAAAAGTTCCCATTGAAATTAATTGCAAAGAAATAAAATGAAAGTTCAGATCCTTTCTTAAGTGGCCAACAGATGCATGTGGCCAATGGCTTCCCTGTGGGGCCATTCAAGTCAAGGGACCTGCACAGCACTTCAAAGGTGCTAGCAATCAACTCTGCCCCCAGCTACAGGCACTCCTGAAAGTGTCAGTGCTCAAGGGTGCCAACCTTTCCCCCAACTCCTCTTCCTCCCTTTCCCCTTCTTTCCTCTCCCTTCCTCTTCTCTTCCTTTCCTCCTCCCTTTCTCTTCTTGTCTTCCTCTCTTAGCTTCTCTTCCCTTCTCGTCTTACCCTCCCTTCCTGCCTCCTTCCAATTTAGAAACAACTTACTTAGCACCCAACTAACTAGTGTATTTTTAAACTTTGGAAGAACTCTTATTCCTCTCCATAAAGGGCTTTTAAAATCCAGATGATAAAAACTTTGGACCTTATTTTTCTAACCACGAAATTCCCTGACTTAGGAAGACTAGAAGTAAACATCCACTTAGCCTGTGTCTACTAACTCACTAGCCTGGGAGAGGCAGCAGAAATGAGCTCAGGACAGTGCGGCCCAAGAGTATAGCTGCAGGGAGCTCATGCAAGCCAGGCATGGATGGGAGGTCAAGCAGCCAGACTCCTACCAGGCCCTGACGTCCATATGAACAGTGCTGGCATCACAGTCCCTGTCAAGGGCCAGAATGTGGGGCCTCTGCTCCTCCTGGGCCTCAGTCCCAGGGGCTCAGCTCAGGCTACAGCCAGGCCAGGCCAGACCTGCCTGTGGCACTAACCTCACAATACATGCTTATTGCTGCTAGATTTTTTTGATTGCCCAGAAGAGGAAAATCTGGATTTTGTATGAACTTGCCTGATTTTTAAAAATTCTGCCTTAAAAAAATGTATGCAATCCACAGTATGCCCAGGGTACACACCTGTGACCTCTGCCTTAGGGGAAGGTTCAGTTTCTGTGGTCAGGGTCTGAACTACCATATCCCAGATGCCTAAGAAGGGAGTGTGCAGAGCCCCCCCGAAGACCCACATACACTCAGAACAGCATGTGGGAGCTGGGGCAATGTGCTGATCTGGTCCCAGGCTGCACCTGTGATGGATGAGGGAAGGTGTTTTCTGGTTGTTTGACCATGATCCCTCAGCACTGTCGAGCCATGCCCTAGTCAGAGTACATCAAGTCATGAAGACAAGGTCCATATGCATCCCCTGAGGGACAGCACATTCCATAGGAACTGAAACCTGGTGCTGCACTGGACAAGAGGACCCAGGGAGTGGGTAGAGAGGCCATGTGTTTCACAGTGGACAGCGACTATGCATGGGTTAGGAGGGCACAGAAGTATTAAATGAACATCTGCCATGAGCCAAGGATTGTGTCACTTGAGTTCTGTGCACACCTTGATAGAGCTTCACACCCACTCTAGAGTCAGGTAAGACAGAAGAGTAAACCAAGGCACAGGAGGGACTCAGGACTTTTCAAGGTAATGAGCGGGGAGTGGGTGGGATGGGTCAGCTCTTCATGTGTGGGACCCCCAAGCCTGCATGACTGGTCTCAGCATAACACAAGGCCCCTGGTTTGTGTCCCCACTCCTGTGGGGACATACAGAGTGCCCCAGCTCAGGGTCCCTTCTGAGGTTCCACTCAATCAACATATCAAGTAGAAAACTCCAGAACCAGAATAATTCCTGCATTTTAAATGACTGGTATTACACTATATTGTTCCAATCTTCAATTTTACTGCAATCATTGTGAATCTCTTGCTGTAGAAATTACCTCTCATAAGCACAAATTTGCAGGAAGAATGCAGAGAGGACAAGGTCTGGCACTCTTTGAAATATCAGGCATCTACTGGGGCTGAGGACAAGGAAGACTGACTGCAGAAGGTGTCAAAACCCTGCACATTCTCTTCCCTCTGTAAGTGCACCATGGGATGGATAATGGTCAGGTGTCAGTTTAAGAGAAATTGGAATTATATAATTATATGAGTGAAAATAAGCCTCATTTTTGGCCTTCTATAACAAAAGCATTGGGATATATATATTTTTCCCATATATATATTTCCCTCTAGAAAACACCACATACTTTCACTTTGCCTGAAAGTTACAATTCCAAATATCTATACTGTTTAGAGGCCAAAATCTCTCACCCTGTTGGAATAATGTACTTTTACAGTCCCCAGCCAGGGTCTGTCCTTTAAAGGTATACCCTCGGGATCTTCACACCAAGGCTGACAATGCTGTGCCGTTTTCTTTATTGATCATACATACTAGCTATGTGCATTTTGGCAACTTAATGACCTGAGTGTCCATCTCCTTATCTGTAAAAGTGAAATAATAATGAGATTCTCCTGATGGTAAGTGTGAGGCTTAAAGTAAAATATAATATGTAAAATGTTCAGCATAATTCCAAGCATGTAGTAGTTGATCAACGGACAGTAGGAGCTGTTGACCCCTATTGGAGACAGTGCTTCTGCTTTCCCTTGAAAGATCCTAAGCGAACCTTTCAAAATGCTTCTACTAAGGGCTTAAAGGGAACTGACTATAGATAGCATAGACAAAAACTGTCTTCCCACGAGCCCTTCCATCTGAACCAGGAGGCTCAGCTTCGGGGTCACAAGAGCAGAGACTTCGGCCATGCCCATCTTGTGTCTTTGCATTTCAGATGTCATCTCGACAGCTGCTACTGATGCCTTCCCCTTCCAGAAACACATCTTGCTCTTTAACATCTCCATCCCTAGGCATGAGCAGATCACCAGAGCAGAGCTGCGTCTCTACGTCTCCTGTCAAAACAATGTGGACACTTTCCATGGGCTGGAAGGAAAGATGGTCATCTATGATGTCCTGGATGGAGAAGGCACCTGGCGTGGTGCCTCAGGGACCAGGACCTTCCTGGTGTCCCAGGACATTCGGGGAGAGGGCTGGGAGACCTTGGAAGTGTCCAGTGCTGTGAAGCGGTGGGTGAGAGCAGACTCCTCCAAGAGCAAAAATAAGCTGGAAGTGATGGTAGAGAGCTGCAGGAAGGGCTGTGAAACACTGGACATCAGTGTCCCCCCGGGTTCCAAAAACCTTCCCTTCTTCGTCGTCTTCTCCAATGACCGCAGTAATGGAACCAAGGAGACCAGAATGGAACTCAGGGAGATGATTGGCCATGAGCAGGAAAGTGTGCTCAAAAAGACACCCAGGAGCAGCTATGGGGAGTCAATCGAGGGCCATGGTGAGGAAGAGGAAGAAATAGATGAGGAAGAGGTCATGACAGGCCACATAACCTTGGGGTCACTGTTAGCCAGACACAAGAGGAGCGTTGGGGCTGGCAGCTACTGTCAGAAGACTTCCCTGCGGGTGAAGTTCAAGGACATCGGCTGGGACAGCTGGATTATTGCACCCAAGGAATACGACGCCTATGAGTGTAAAGGCGGCTGTTTCTTCCCTCTAAGCGACGACCTGACACCAACAAAACATGCCATTGTGCAGACCCTGGTGCACCTGAAGCACCCAAAGAAGGTGGGCAAGGCCTGCTGTGTGCCCACCAAACTGAGCCCTATCTCCATCCTGTATAAGGATGATGTGGGAGTACCCACCCTCAAGTACCAGTACGAGGGGATGAGTGTGGCTGAGTGTGGGTGCAGGTAGTACCTGCGAGGAATGGAGAAGTCAGGGGTCCTAGTGAGGGGCCCTGCACCACTGGGCACAGCAGGGACTAAGTGGCTCTGCAGGCCAGCCTGGAAAAAGGAAGGGAAGCGGCTGTCCCTCTATGACCCTGCTCACACTCTGGGGTGCCACTCCTGACGAAGAGGACAGTGGAGGCTTGTGGGTATGGGCAGAGTAGGAGAGCAGGGTGAGCATGAGGACCTTTGATTTACAGACACAGAGACCAAAACCCAGCAGGCCAGTGAGCACTCATGGGCAGGTTCATTCTTACCCAGGTCCGTGTGGCACTAAGTCCTGGACCTTCCCATGGCCCCATGATTGTCAGCCAGTCACTCTGTATATAGAGCCACTGGCACTGGGAGGGCAGAGAGCTGGGCCAGGCTTGTCACATCCAGGCTGCTCCTTTAAGTCTTCTTTCTGTGGCCAAGAGCTTTCCAGTATCCACCCCGAGTCACTGAAAAGCTGTTCCTACACCCCGCTGTGGGCTGCATAGGGCGCCTTCATGACAGCAGCCCTTTACGTGCCCTGTGACAGGGCCACTGTGACTCTGGTGCCATGCACAGGTCAGGGGTTCATAGAGGGCCACTTGAGGTCCCTGGACTGCACTCTCTGAAGTCTGTGGGGGACAGCTGGAGTCCTACACCTCTGTGGGGACCTAACTCAGCATGATCAGTTATACTCATTTGACCCTTACTCAAAGATGTAGAGGGCAGGGCAAGATTTGAATTTGTGGGATTTAAATATGCTCTTAATTTGATATTTGAAATGTCCCTATTTTTATTCCTCGAAGACATGCAATCAAGTGATAAGATGCCCAGCTTTCTGGGCCAGAGCTGCCAAATCCTGTCAGCAGCTGTTCACAGGTTTCTGGAGTAACATGGATTCTGTCCCTGCATTTTCCATCTGTTCTGTGTACCCTCCTCTTCTCTGACCCTCCTGACACACATGGTGTCACAGCGTGAGGAAGAGGCAGAGGGCAGGTAAGGGCCCCCCACCTCTGGCACAGCAGGCCCCTCCCTGTAGAAGCCCCCCCATAGGAAGAAAAAAAAATCACTGTGTTAAATGTTTACGTGGAATCAATGAGCAACTTTAACACAAAAATACAATGAGGCGTGGAGTTCAAATACTGGAGTTGGAGAAAGTGTGGAATTCCTGGTTTTTGCTAGGCAGTGTGGTAGAAGAGGTCTGTTCCTGGTGGTCTTCGTCGGGTCCTGGAGGTGTGTTTCTGTGTCTTGTGAAGCTTCACTTGGGAATAAAGTCAAATGTCTGAAGTGAGGCCTTCCTTGAATATTAAACCAGAGGGTGAGGGTGCCCTGCCCATACTCTGCCCCAAGGACCTGCTGGCAGTGTGCACAGTGGGCTAAGCAGACAAGATTGCACACAAGCAGATGTAGATGTGAGTGGCTGTGCGAGGAGGGCTAGCTGTGTCCACCTCCCTTTACCTCTGAATGTGTCTGAGGGCAGCTGGGCTCTCATTAGGGCACAGAAATAGCCGCAAGAAACCCCTGCAGAGTCCAGGCCTCCAGCCCGCTCGACCATGCCCTGCACTAGAACCACTCTCTATCCTCTGACCCCATCCACCCCACCCCAGCCAGTGTTGGTGGGGGGCCTTGAGCTCAGGGCACTACCCATTCCCAGGTCTGCCCTCCTGGTCCTGCTTGGCAGAGGGTACAGGGCATTATGCAGCTGTCACGGGCCTGGCACAAGGAGCTGCCACCTTGTCTCCTGTGCTACTGTTGCTATGGGCTCCCAGGACACACTGAAGGAGTCACATGTGGAGGGTGGAGCACAAAAGAAGAGACCCAGGAGACCTGAGGGCTCCCTGCCGCCCCTCTGACTCCCCCATCAGCCACCTCCTCACCCGGGTCCAAGGTTGGGGTAGGATATGTGAAGCAGTTCATCCTGCCCAGTGTTTTCTGAGCCCTCAGCGGACAGTGCTGGTGTCACTAAAGGAGTGTTGTGACCCAAGGAATGCAAATCCGGCGGGTGAGAGCCTCAGAAAGCTCATACACTTTGACAGAGAAATTCTGGTTCTGTCTCTGTTTTTAGAAAACATTAAATGGCAAATGAGGTGGTGCACATCCAATCCCAGCATCCTGGAAGGCAGGAGCAGGAGGACTGCAAGTTCAAGCCCCGTCTGGGCAACTTCACAAATTAAAATCCTGTCTCAAACAGATAGATAGACAGACAGATAGATAGATGCATAGAGACTGGGGATTAGCTCAGAGCAAAGGCCTTGGGTTCAAACCTAAGTACTGAGAAATAGTATTAAATATGGAAATGTATTATTGTTCAGAAAACATATTTTTCATAGTGAAAAAAGGAAACTAAAATGAACAATAGGAGAATAATTTAATGAACTCTGTACCCTAAAAAGGGGGCAAAAGATTTGAACAGACATTCACCAGGGAAGATGTACCCATGGGCAGTTAGCACAAGAAAGATATTTACCATCATCAGTCATCAAAGAAATGTGAATCACAACAAACCATTAAAATGCCCAAGGTCAACAAGTCTGCCCGTGGGTGTCTATGGGGAGGAACTGGAAATCTTATGTGCTGCTGGTACAAATTTAAATTTTCATAAAACACTTAAGAAGTTTTTTAGAATGCTAAGCACACATTCCTATTCTAGGTATTTCCACAGGTGAGTGGGTAGCACATACTGGTTATGGCTGCACAATTACACAGCAATGAAAAGTGAAAATAATGGAACATTCAATGATCTAAGGGGATGGGACAACAAGCACAAGGAAAACGTGGTGATCGTAATGTATGTTATCTTACCTGTGGCTGTGGTTTCACAGAGAATACACATGTCAGATCTCACCAGATTGCACATTTCATGAATGGGCAACTTATTCTGTATCAGTTATAATCAATTAATTTGTAAATATGCACATTTATTGTATAATTTAAAAGTTACTGAAAAAATAGAATGAAGAAAAGAAGTATCTAGCCCTTGAATAAAAATCCAGGAAGCCCACGTTTGAGAATTTTATACAGAAACAAAAAGCACTGGTTCTGAAGAGCACTTTTGTGAGAACATTTATCACAATATTGTTCATGGAAGAAGGAACAGAAACTATTTAAAATATGCCTCACTGGTTGTCCTGGTCCATTTCTGTTGCTATAACTGAATGCCACAAAGTAGATAGTTTATAAAGAGTAGTAGGTTATTTGGCTAGGGATTCTGGACACTTGGAAGTACTAGCGCACTGTACTGCTACCTGGTGGGCTTTTTTCTATATCAGAGCATGGCAAGGATATCAGAGGGCAATGTGGTAGAGAACAGATGCTCATGAGGACAAGAGACAACTGTCAGGGCTGGATCCATAACCGGTTAGTCACTTAAAGTTAGATGTGTCTTCCCCCTTCAACAATGCAAGGGATGTATCCAAGTCCTTCCCTGCCTCTGGCCAGGAGCTCTGGGACAAGCAGGGTGACACCATGAGATTTCTAGGACCAGCTGGCTACTGACCCCTATTGTATACAAGGAAGAAATCCCTTAAAATGCAAGAAAAGGTTGGTGAGAACTGCCATACTCATGAAGCTACCAGGCCCCAGAGAGCACTACCAGTCCCATAAAGGCTGGCTTCCTTCCTTTACTGGCAGGGGCAGCCTGGTTACTCTCTGCCACCCAGCCTCTTCTTCCTAAGCCTCCCCACAAAAGCTTTTGCCTATGAGTTCATGCTCTTTGCCTCTATTTTCGTCTCTGTTAACTCTAAGACAGACGCTCCTTTTCTTCCAGTGCCCCTAGGGATCTCTCTGCTAGCCAGGATCTCTCTTCTTGTTCACAAAAGTCACTGATGCCCCATGACAACCCCACCCTCATGACCCCACTTAGCCCTAATGACCTCCCAAAGTCCACACCTTCAAATACCACCCGCATGTAACTTTGAGGATCAAGTTTCACATATGTGAGCTCAGGGGCTCACACCCAAACCATAGCCCAGGAAGACAAAGCAGCAGACCATCAAATCTTTCTGCACCCATAAAAACAATGGGTTTAATGTCCCCCATTCGAAGAATGTTTGTGCTGTATGTTTAAGTAGTGTGACTCATGGAATGTGCTACTTGGGATGGCACAGGAAAGACAGAAATGTGGTAAACCTGCTGGTCTTTCTAACAGCAGCAGTCAAGGGCAGATAACACTGTCAGGGTTATTACTGGGAGTAGAAGGCTGGATTGGATAAAAAAAAAAAAAACAGAAAAATTGTTTACACAGTGTTGTGAAAATAAATGCTTGACTCTTCAATTTAGGAAAAAAAGTAAAAAGTAATGCTATTAAAATGAAATACAGACATTCCAGGCATGGTGGTGCACTCGGGAGGCTGAGGCAGGAGGATCACTGTGAATTCGAGACCAGCCTGGGCTACTGAGTTTCAGGTCAGTCTCAACTACATAGTGAGATCCTGTCTCAAAAAAAAAGAAAAGAAATACAGACAAAGCTAATTTAGTTTGAAAGCATCCAAAAATACCTTCAAGGTGTAGAGGGGTTTCTAGAGAGGGGTAGAGAAGGGGCTAGAGAGAGGGGTATGGCCAGGAAAGGGCATCTAGCTAGGGAGTATTAATCAACTTCGAGGCCACTAGGCAGACCTTCCTACATGAATAAATCAAAACTCAGACTCACTTCTTATATGCAGATAATTTAAAGAAAAATGAAATTCAAGCCCCACCAATTACAGGTGGCGCCTGGACACCAGATGTATGGCTTTGATACCCTCGGAGACAGTCCTGGCCACCACTCAAACTTGGCCGAGCAAACCATGCTCACCCTGCTGTAAGAAAAGCCCAGTCCCACTCCGGGTAGGTCTGTCTATTCCAAAGTCCTCAGATCTCAGTGGACAAAGTTTATCTTTAACAGTACTTCTGCTGCGAGGCATTGTGGGAAAACTCACACAAAACAATGGACAGATGGACAGGGCTTTGGCCACTGTGCAGCATCAGTTGGTACTGTGACAGTCATTCAGGCTGCTTGGGCTCTGCTGCTGTCCCCTTCCCTTCCCACAGCACACCTGATGTCCCTGTCCCCTCTCTGTCTATGCTCAGCAGAAGGCCTGGGGGTTTCTCCCTACATACTCAGAGCCAGTGGAAGGTTTGGGGTCTAGAAGCACTAGGTGCCCCAGTCCCCCCGGGCAGCCTGAATCCCCAGGGCATCTTCCCAGCCTCTGATCATAGACAGAGCCAAGCCATCACTCGGCCACCTTACCCTGGGCTCACTGCCTCCTCAAGGCTTCTGGCATCCTCATGCAGAATGTACCAGCGGTACCTGGATTTTCCCACAGCTCACTTCCCTGGGTGGTGTGGAGCACAACCCAGAGCAGCCCCATCACCTAAGGAAGACCTCGTGTCACCTACTTAAGGTCTTGCCCATCCCAGAAAGCAGTGGTGTCTCAGGGTAGCCCCTGATCCTGTGCTCTGGACATCTCTGCCCACACCCACAGGCCACTCGTATACATGAGGGACTTCCAGCCCATCCTAATCCAAAATTATGCCCTCTGGATTACAGCAAGACTCCAGCCCGCCCAGGCTGGGGACTTGCCCAGGTCTTGCATCCAGGATGGGCCAAGGTGGCCGGCTGGCTGTCTCTTGCTTGTATCCCTTCACTTGCAGGCCAGGATACTGCGGGTTCCTGGAGAGTTTGAAGAGCTTTGGGAACAAAATGTGGTCTCCCACATGCTTTGGGCTGTACCTACAGTAGGAAGGGTTGCCCTGCCCAGGCACCTCAGGGACTCTGCAGATTTCAGTTCTTTTGATCACCTCCTCCTGAGAGGTGGGCCACCCACATAAAGCAAGGCATAGCCACGTCTCTGGATGTCACATCCTGACACTACTTCTCTGCACTGTGTAGTCCTCATGCAGCTTTAATGCTGTCCATCAGCCCCAGAGCTTGGTCTGGGCTCCTGCAAAGGTAGAGAAATCCCCCCAGAGGACTGCTCCCTTGGGCTCAGAGTTGGGGTTCCCCAGAAGGCAGATGAAGGGGCACCCAACAGATGTGATCACCAGGAGGCATCTACACATCTGAGCTCAGCCTTATTGTTTCAGTAAACCAGGCTCATTTCCATTGGCTGCCAGTGGTGGAGTGATGTGACCATATGTCACTTGGGCATTAAACAAATCCTAATGAGCTGAAAATATGTTTGTTTTAGCTAACTGACCTTGTTGGCCTTCATCAACCACTTGGTAAACATTCTCAGAGAATGATTTCAGAGAGTGGATTGTAGCAGCCAACCATGAAGAGTAAGCCCCAAGACCACCCAAGTCTCCCCAAGACCACCTTTTCCCATTGAGGCATACCCAGGTCCCACCTATTACCCACTACGCCTAAGAAGTGATGTTGGACACAGCTCAGAGGAGCCAGGAAGGTGGCAGCAGGAAGTGGCCTTCCCTGCCGCTGTTCCCTGGCTGCATATCTGTGGTCTGAGCTGTGGCTGTCTCATGGGTTACGAGAACTGTTCTCTAGGTTCTGGCCCATGGTGAGACAGTGAGCCTTGTGGATACCTTGCCAGGTCAGATACAAACCTCACATCACCTCAAGAAGCAGCAGGAAGCAGGAGGCTCAGAGCCCAGCTGTGCACCAGGAGCTGGCCTGTGACCAAAGACCCAGGTCCTCCAGTATTCACTTCTCCCTGCATAGCACAGGTAATAGCTAAGCCAGCAGGGGTCTCTGTCAGCCAGAAGGATGAGCTGCTCACAGAACCAACCTCTTCTCACTTGGAACTGTCTGTTCTGAGGCCAGGAGGTGGCACCCCTCCCACCAGCCACACCCGCTGTTCAGGATTAGCCATGTAGTCCTCTCACTAAGAAGCTGTGAGGTGCTAGCAGGCCTTAAGTATGAACATCAAGCCTTCGGGCTGGTGGTAGGCTCAGACTCAACGTCTGCAGTGTCTGAGTGGACTGTTCACCCCCAGGTTCTTCTCTCAGGCCACACCTGAAATGTTGGATCCAATTAACTGCAAATGCTCCAGCCTGTTGGTTTGGCTATAAAACGGAGATCTTACCAGTAACAGAGTGCTTCTTATTTGCTGGGCACTGTGAAGTACTCTGCACAAAATTTTCCCATTTAATTGACAAAATAAGGGAGATATGTGATCCTTCAGCCCATAGACTAGACAGTGGCAGAGCCAGGCATCCAACAAGGTCTGCCTGATTCTGGGCCACCCAGAGTGGTGGGGAAATGCTATTCACTGGAGGCAACTCACTCTCTTTTGCAAGGCTCTGCTGAGACCCAGCACAGTGGTTATAGCATGTGGCAGGGACTCGAGCAAACCATGCTTAAACTCTGCAAGACAAGCAACCACGTTCCTTCTGGGTCACATCACCCTTTCTCCCCAGCCCCTGAGGCCGATAAGCTTGAATTACATAGGATTAAAGGCTTACCAGAGTGAGAGGCCTCCTTGCCCTAACTCCTGTGTTGAGCCCCACACCTTCTGTCCACTTGCTGAGAAGGACAAGGCAGAAAGGCAGCCACAGGAAGCAGGGTTGCAGCCTTGCACACAGTTAAGGACGTGGGTCCAGGCCCTGGCTTCCCAGGGTCCCCTGATGACAGAATGGGCTCTGTTCCTGTCGGTGCTGCTGTGTGGCCTTGCTGGACCCACACACCTGTTTCAGTCCAGCCTGGTGCTGGACATGGCCAAGGTCCTCCTGGATAACTACTGCTTCCCAGAGAACCTCATGGGGATGCAGTCAGCCATTGAGCAGACCATGAAGAGCAGGGAGATTCTGGGCATATCTGATCCACAGATGCTGGCCAAAGTGCTGACGGATGGGGTACAGAGCTCCTTGAATGACCCCCACCTAGTCATCTCCTATGAGCCCAGCACCGTGGAGGCACCACAGCAAGCCCCAGCACCCACCAACCTTAGCAGGAGGAACTGCTGGCTAGGCTGCAGAAGAGCATCCTCCATGAGGTCCTGGAGGACAACGTGGACTACCTGCGTGTGGATGACGTCCCCGGCCAGGAGGTGCTAAGCAAACTGTATGGCTTCTTGGTGACCCATGTGTGGAAGCAGCTCATGGGTACCTCCGCCCTGGTGCTGGATCTCCAGCAGTGCTCCGGTGGCCATGTCTCTGGCATCCCCTATATCATCTCCTACCTGCACCCCAAGAATACGGTCCTGCACGTGGACACCATCTATGACTGCCCTTCCAATACCACCACAGAGATCTGGACCTTACCACAGATCATGGGAGAGAGGTACAGTGCCGAGAAGGATGTGGTGGTCCTCACCAGCGGCCACACTGGGAGTGTAGCCGAGGACATTGCCTATATCCTCAAGCAGATGCGCAGGGCCATTGTGGTGGGTGAGAGAGTGGAAGGGGGTGTCCTGGACCTTCAGAAGCTGAGGATTGGCCAGTCCAACTTCTTCCTCACTGTGCCTGTGTCCAGGTCCCTGGGGCCCCTAGGTGGAGGAAGCCAGACATGGGAGGGCAGCAGGGTGCTGCCATGTGTGGGCACGCCAGTGGAGCAGGCTCTTGAGAAAGCGCTGGCCATCCTCACCCTGCACTGCGCCCTGCCAGGGGTTGTGCACCGCCTGCAGGAGGCCCTGCAGGAGTACTACACGCTGGTGGACCATGTGCCAGCCCTGCTGCACGGCCTGACCAACACGGACTACTCCACAGTGATCTCCAAGGAAGAGCTGGTCACCAAGCTAAACGCTGGCCTGCAGGTGGTGTCCGAGGACCCCAGGCTTCTGGTGTGGGCTGTGAGGCCCAGAGAAACCTCTTTAGGGACTGAGGCTGAAACCCATGAGTCCTCAGAGGCAGAGCCCAAGGTCCCCGAGCACAAGGCTGCCCTGCAGGCACTGATGGATGCTATGTTCCAGGTGTCAGTGTTGCCGGGTAATGTGGGCTACCTGCGCTTTGACAGGGTCGCAGATGACTCTGTGCTGGGAGTCCTAGGGCCCTACATGCTACACCAGGTGTGGGAGCACCTGCAAAACACGGAGCACCTCATCATGGACCTGCGCCGCAACCCTGGCGGGCCGTCTTCTGCCATGCCCCTGCTGCTGTCTTACTTTCAGGGTCCTGAGGACGGTCCCGTGCTCCTCTTTACCACCTATGACCACCGTACCAATGTCACACAGGAGTACTTCAGCAGCAGGGAGCTGCTGGGCCCCCGTTACGGCCACCAGCGTGGAGTGCATCTGCTCACCAGCCACCGCACAGCCACAGCAGCCGAAGAGTTTGCCTTCCTCATGCAGTCACTGGGCTGGGCCACGCTGGTGGGTGAGATCACGGCGGGAAGTCTGCTGCACACCCACACCGTGTCGCTGCTGGACTTACCAGAGGGTGGGCTGGCACTCACTGTGCCCGTGCTCACTTTCATCGACAACCATGGTGAGGACTGGCTGGGTGGTGGGGTGGTGCCTGATGCTATCGTGCTTGCCGAGGAAGCACTGGACAGGGCACGGGAGGTGCTGGACTTCCATCGCAGCCTGGGAGAGCTGGTGGAGGGCACGGGCCGCCTGCTGGAAGCCCATTATTCACGGCCCGAGGTGGTAGGGCGCATAGAGGCCCTGCTGCGGGCCAAGCTGGCACATGGTGCCTACCGCACGGCTGTGGACCTGGAGTTGCTGGTCTCACAGCTAACGGCTGACCTGCAGGAGGTATCTGAGGACCACCACCTGCTTGTGTTCCACAGCCCCGGAGAGCTGATGGTGGAGGAGACGCCCCTACCATCCCCTGCGGTGCCCTCTCCCGAGGAGCTCTCTTACTTCATTGAGGCTCTGTTCAAGACAGAGGTGCTGCCTGGAGGGCTGGGCTATCTGCGTTTCGATGCCATGGCTGAACCGGAGACAGTGAAGGCCATCGGGCCACAGCTGGTGCAGCTGGTGTGGCAGAGGTTGCTGGACACAGCCGCTCTGGTCGTGGACCTGCGCTACAACACTGGCAGCTACTCCTCAGCTGTGCCGCTGCTCTGCTCCTACTTCTTTGAAGAGGAGCCCCACCAGCACCTTTACTCTGTCTTTGACAGAGCCACCTCGAGGGTCACAGAGGTATGGACCCTGCCCCAGGTTGCTGGATAGCGCTACGGCCTGAAAAAGGACCTCTATATCCTGATGAGCCATACCAGTGGCTCTGCAGCAGAGGCCTTCACTCACACCATGCAGGACCTGCAGCGGGCCACCATCATTGGCGAGCCCACGGCCGGAGGCCCTCTCTCTGTGGGCATCTACCAGGTGGGCAGCAGCTCCTTAAATGCCTCCATGCCCACCCAGCTAGCCTTGAGTGCCACCACTGGCCAGGCCTGGGGTCTGGCTGGTGTGGAACCTGACATTACCGTGCCCGTGAGTGAGGCTCTGTCTATGGCCCAGGATATAGTGGCCCTTCGTACCAAGGTGCCCACAGTGCTGCAGACAGCTGGGAAGCTGTTGGCCGACAACTGTGCTTCCCCTGAGCTGGGGGCAAAGATGGCAGCTAAACTGAGCAGCCACAGAGCCACTACACCAGGGTGACCTCCGAAGCTGCCCTGGCTGAGATGCTGGGGGCTGACCTGAAGATGCTGTCTTGGGACCCACACCTGAAGACAGCCCATATCCCTGAGGATGCCAAGGACCACATTCCTGGAATTGTGCCCATGCAGGTGAGTCACAGGAGACACTTGGCTAGGGAACAAGGTGACCAGGAGCTGTGTGCCTAGTGCAAGACTTTGCACCTCTAGATTCTCTCAAGTGTGTCTTTTCCTCCCTGTCCCTGGAGTCCTGTCCACTCCCTGTGCCCAGGATGAGTGGACATCTCTATAGAGCATCACTCCTAAAGGAACCCTGTTTAAATCCCTGGACTACAAGGGCTGCCTTGGCTGGAGGAAGGAAACATTTGCAGGAATTCTCATTGCTAGTGTAGGGAGAGGGGGTCAGTAAGTCACCTGAGGTCCCCAAGCTGTGATCCTCTCCCTGGAGTTGTAGAAGATTAATCCTCCCACCTGCCTGCCTCAGGGGGTTGTAGTTTGTGTGAAGGAGTTGGAGGTGGAACTGGAGATGTGGGGACAAGAACAGAGGAAGAGGTAAAGACGAGGATCCACAGGAATCTCTGAGCTAATGCACAGAGCAGCCCTGGCCCAGCCCCATGGTGTCTCCTGCACAGGGTGGCTGGGAGGGAGAGGTAAGGCTTCAGATGCTTAGCCCAGGCCCCTGGCAAAGGTACTGCTGTTGTGCCTCCCTCTCCCAGGGGAGGAGAGGAAGATGAGTCAGGGCGTTGAGAGGCATGTGCTGAGCTCTGAAGAGTCAGAGAGGAGACCATGCTGGAGCCCTGCTGTTTGACACTGGGTGCAGGGCTGGCAGACAAGAGTATCCTTTGCAGGGAGGCTGCTGATCCATCAGTTCATCAAAGGATGAATCCCGCCCAGGTCCACGGCCCTGGTCTTCCCCCACATGGTCACCTCCCCCTACGACTCATGCTTCTCAGTCCACACTGAGAAGATCCCATCTCCAGAAGTCTTTGCAGACCTGATCAAGTTTTCTTTCCACACCAATGTGCTGGAGGACATCGGCTACCTGAGGTTTGATATGTTTGGGGACTGCAAGCTGCTCACACAGGTCTCTGAGCTGCTAGTTCAGCATATCTGGAAGGAGATCGTGCACACGGATGCCATGATCATCGACATGAGGTCAGTGGCCAGGAGGTGATGGGAGGGCCCAGGCCAGCCAGCCTGGGGCTTCCATTTACACAGGCCAGTGAGACCCAGCCTTGGTCATTGTATAAGTTCCTGTGATGCGCCCACTATATATTCCAAGTTAAGAATTGCCCCAAGTGAATTGCCTGGTCATTGGGATCAAATGGAGGACATTAGAATACAGATTACTATACCCTGCCCCAGCCCTCCTGAGTTATTAACTCCACTGGTCAAGGCTGACTGAGGTGACTGATCTCTAGGCCTATTGGGATAGCTGAGCCTGACACCTAGGCAATGTCTTGTTTTCTCCAAGATCAACTCACCAACTCCTGGTCAGGAGGGTGGGAAAGCTGGGTCCCAGAAAGAATATGAGACAAACCACTGTGGTATCAAAAAGGACTCTGCTTCTCAAGTGGTGTCAGAGGATGTCTCACACTACCTGTTTCCCCTTGGCTTTGCATCAGGGAGGCCCCACTGCAGAGTGGGGCAGGAGGTGGAGGACTCATAGGCAGGGCCACTGGTGAGCACCCTTCTTGGGTGCAGGAAGGGGCATCTGTTCCCTGGGATGAGGACACTTCCCCCATCCCTGCTGCCTGGGAGAGGGCAGGAGCAGCCTGCCTGGAGCTCCTGTCCAGCCACACCAGCTGGGCCTGCAACACAGGACTTGAGAGGCTGCAAGGTGGTGCTGAGCCCCAGGGAGGCTGGTCCCCCTCTCTGCAAGGTGACTCTTCCCAGACCCTGGTTAGTGCGCCCAGAACTGAGTGTGGGATCCTGCGGTCCTTTGTCCCTCAAAGACTGCAGGGAGCCTCTGAACACCCTGAGCTAAATCCCTCTTTTATTACATATGCCCTCCCCAGGGAGGAGATGCTCAGCCTGCAGGTGCACTTCCTTCCATTCCTTCCTCCTCTCCCTGAGGTCGAGGTTTGGATGCTGGGATCACAAGCCCTAAGCCCAGCCAGGCCCTCCTAGGCCCCAACTGGAAGTGTCTCCAGACATGTCACCAGCCAGATGGGCCCAGTACAGTCACACGGTGGGACAAATCCAAATGGCATTGGATGGACACAGGAACCTTCATTCCCAGTGACTTTCTGAACTCTTCACTGCCACACCAATTGCCACGTTAGGACTCCCCAGCTATGATACTTGGAAGGTATTATAGAATGTCACCAAAAACAACTGGGGATGAAGGTGTTCCCAAGACACACCCCACTTACAAGAGGTGTGAGTACAGAAGAGCCATATACAGTGAATACCTGGGAGAAATTTATTGACAAATTTTTAACTTCAGGACTTGTCAGAGCTTTTAATGAGTAACCATGCAACCAGAGGGTGGAATATGGGATTCAGTATTTTCTGAACATATTTGACCACAAAGTCTATTGGTTCTAGGAGCCTGGTACCCTGAAGCTCTGAGGTACTAGAAGCTGGATGGAATTAGAATCCTCCCCAGGGCCAAGGCCCCAGCCCCCAGAGGGCACTGTGAGCCACCTGTGAGCTCAGTCCTTGAGTGGTCCCTCTTTCCTCCTCAGGTTCAACATTGGCGGCACCACCTCCTCCATCTCGGCACTGTGCTCCTACTTCTTTGATGAGGGCCAACCCATTCTTCTGGACAAGATCTACAGTCGCCCCAATGACTCAGTCACAGAGCTCTGGACCCACACCCGGCTTGCAGGTGCATGAGAAGCCCCCTGCCCATCTCATCCCCAAACTTTTGGAGCTGGGAAACCAGGGCCTGGGTTTAGGCAAAAGATTCAGAAACTGGAATAGGAAGCCCTGGCTTGGTCCACACAGTTGGCGCTGCTACCTTCAGTCTCTGCAAAGCACATGCCCACTTTATAGAGGGAAAAAAGGAAGGTCTTGGGTCACTTAGCACTAAGAGCCCAAATGTGAATATGCCAGCAGCCGGCAGGAGCAGGGCTGAGCTAGAAGGATCCTCTGCCCATCGCCAACCTGAGGGATTCTCAGTGGCAGCTCTGCACATGTTCCCAAGGTTGAGACACCTCCTGCCTTGGGTTCTGCGTGGTGTCCCAAGAAGAAGGGCAGCCCCTGAGCTCTATAGACCTGGACTCCCAAAGCGACCTCCCTCATAGAAAAACCTCCCTCCCTCTCCCAGCCCAGTTTGCAATGCCAAGGAAGCTATTCTGCTACCACCAGAGGGCACTGGAGAGGCCAGGGGAGGGCACCCATGACTGCGCGGTGCATTCTGCAGTAGCTTCCAGAACATCACTCAGTAATATGGCAAAAACGCAAATAGAAATCAGCAGCAGGTGAATCCCAAATTCAGACAGGTATCCAAGACAAGGTGTTAAACACAGACTTAGACCTAAATGTCGGGAGAACTGCAAGTTCCTAGCTGTAAGCCAAATGTCACCTGAGGCCAGGGGCCCTCAGAATGTGGCTGGTCTGTATTGGCATGAGTGGGAAGTATGAAATGTCCACCAGGGTTAGCAGATCTATCATGGGGAAAAACAAAGGAAGGAAAGCCCTTTTTAGTACTTTCACTGGATTCTATGTGAACTATTTTGAATATGGTGGGCAAATAAAACACGGTTAAAGTTAAATTTCATGTTATATTTGAGAGGGGTGGTTTCTTTTTTGATAGTCTTGCTATATAGGCCAGGCTGACCTTGAATTCACAGTGATCTTCCTGCCTCAGCCTCACAAGTTCTGGGATTACAGGCATGTGCCACCACGCTTAGCTTCTCATGTTTTATTTTTACTTGTTGAACATGGCCATCAAGACACTTAAACTGACCCTAGTGGCTTGCTTTCTGAGCATGTCATATGTCTATTGAGCAACACTGTCCCCAAGGCTGTCAGTAAGTCACCCTCTGACTCTTCTGAGGATTCCAGAGGAAGGGGGAGTCAGGTCTGATTCGGGGCTCTCATCACACAAGAAAAGCCTGCCCAGTCCTCTGGGAAGCTGATGATGACAGTCCCCAGCTCCACTCTGAAAGTGTTTGCAGGGCCAGACAGCATGGAGGAGACTCAGGAGGCCCCAGGCTCAGCCACCTCCCACTCTGACAGGCTTCTGTCTTGCAGGTGAGCACTATGGGTCCAAGAAGAGCATGGCCATCCTAACCAGCAGTGTGACAGCTGGCACAGCCAAGGAGTTCACCTACATCATGAAGAGGCTGGGCCGGGCCCTGGTCATAGGGGAGAAGACCAGTGGGGGCTGCCAGCCACCGCAGACCTACCATGTGGATGACACCCACCTCTATATCACCATCCCCATGGTCCACTCAGTGGGGCCGCAGATGGCACCTCCTGGGAAGGGGTGGGCGTGATGCCGCACGTGCTGGTTCCCGCAGAGACGGCCCTCACCAGAGCCCAGGAGATGCTCCAGCACAACCTTCGAGGGTGACTCAGAGCCCAGGGTTGGGGGTCACCCACCAAGGAGCTCCTGCTTCGGGCACCAGGGGGCTCCAAACCTGCTGAGATCCAGCTAGGCTTGGAGCTGGAGGCATCCTTGGTGCTCATCTACCTGTCCTCCTCCACTGCACCAATCCTCTCTGCTTGCATGCCCCCCGAGATAAGGAGCTCCCCAATTCCAAAGCAGTCCTCCACAACTGTAATTTGGTGGAGATGAAGTCCAAGTCTGTCCTCACTTATGGTAATTGCCAACCCCAAGTCCTTGGGCTTTCCCAAGAGCAGCTCTGTTGGTAGGATTAGCATAGGCCACCCAATTCAAGTCATGCATGCCACTTTCCATTTTCTACTAGCCACAGCTTCTAAGAGCAAAAATAAAATAAAAGTTGATTAATTTTAATAGCTTATTCTAATACTGTAGATGCTTCCTGAGTTACAGTGATGAACTTATTTCCTAAAGTCAAAAATGCAGCAAGTAAAACATGCATCTAATACTCAGATAAACCTATTTTAAAGATGAAAATGCATAAGCTGAGCCACTGTAAGTTGGAATCATGTGTAGAACTGATCTAACCACTCTATCCACAGCAATGTCATTTAATAGCATAATTAGTACAGCAATGGTTTGAGATGTTACTGCAGTCTCTGAGTCTCTGAGCTGTGATATGTAGTTTGGCACACAGCACAAGTCCACATTCCTGGTGCTCAGGGGCCACCTGCAGCCTGGGGTTCTGTGTAGAATTTCACAGGCAAGTGCTCAGAAGCTTGGCTTCTCTTACACTTTGGTCCCTTGGGCACTGCTCACACTGTGGTCATCTCTGTCCCCATCCTGTTGTGCACCACTCAGAAGCAGCACCATCCTAGCCATCTGCTACCTGACACTGGCTATCTGGCATGGGTGTGGGATATGTGTGCCCTCACTGGAAGGCCAGGATGCGGGAAGCAAATCCACGTTGTCCTTCATGTGCACCCCTCAGACACCTGAACCACGTAAGCTGGGGAGGGGCTGGGGAGCCCAGGGGTGACCTGGGAAAACAAGGTCCCTGGCCAGCTGGCACCCTGAACACTGCTTGAAGGATGATCAGAAGTCAGACACAGTGCCCTTCCAGGGTCTTCCTGGAATCCTGGTGAAACAGTTAACTCTATAAACTGCACAAACCAGAGCTTGTTGCCTCACTAAGTGAAAGAATGAAATCATGGATGAAAGAATGAAGTTAGGAGAGTGTTGATTGGAAAAAAATAAGAAGAAAAACAGCTCCTAGTTTTTACAGGGGACTCTGAGAGTGGAATTCCATGTCAGCAAGTGCACTGACTAATTCATAACAGGAATGCAACAACAACAACAACAAAACATGCAGTTCAAAGTCACTGTGGGCCAGGAATCTTGCTTCCAGGTCTCCACCACAGGGCACCAGCTCTTTCTGCTGGTCCCTGGGGATTTAGCTGCAGTCTCGAGTAAGGATTTCCCTGTACTTTACTTAACAGGGTGCCCAGCATCAAAAATAGCCTCCTAATCCAAGCAGCTTAGAGAACCCAATGACAGGGGCTTCCTGCCTCTCGCACACAGCTGGACAGGAGAGGGGAAGCTAAATCTAACCTCCGACACACACCCCTGTTGCATGAGTTCCCTTCCAAAACCCATTCAAAATTGTTTTCTAAAACGTCTCTTAGCAGGTGTCCCAAGCCAAAACTTACTGGTGAAGGACTTCTTTTATCTGTAAAAGGATTAGCCTATGAAATTTGTATCTTATGTGTTGTATGATCCTTGGAGTACCACATGACTTCTTAACAAACAAAAGTATGCAACTGACCAGGCTGGGAGAAACCTACGTGAATTCGAAGTGACTACCCAGAACACCCACTGCCTACAGCGGGTGCCACCCACCCCCCAGAGACAGGGCTGGCCTTGGGTTTCTCTGGTGGACTTTCACCCTGAGGGTTCTCTTCTTGTCCTCCCAGAAATGGGAAGATGAATGAGGTTAGAAGGGCCAGACCCAGTGCTTGGCCTGTTCAGCAGCTATAAGTGAAACAGAATTGGGGTCACTGGTGGTCCCATAACCACTACCTCTGATGCGCTTCCGTGAGTCCAAGCACTTTGCTGTTCAAAAAACAATCAGTTGACAACCACTTGCACATGAAGCCCTGATCTCTGTCCTGTCTTGAGGCCTGGCTCTGAGCAGTCTGCACCCAAGACATTGAAGGCCCATGTGTCAAACGCCACCCCCAACATTTGTTAGTCTAATCACATGGGCATTTGAGTTTAAGATCACTGTTCCAAAGATCAGGAATTGACAACAAATTAAAATCTAGGATCCCAGCCTTCTGATGGTTTTACTTCTCTCCAAGATAAGAACAAAAGAAGTCTCAATCTTGGTTAAAATCGAGAACTAAATTGAATTTGAACTCAGAATATCTTATTTTAGCCTCCTCTGCACATTTCAAAGACTTTTTACAAACCTTAATTGAATGGCTGCTTCTGGGAGATGACCTATTAGGATATAATTTACCATTTTTCTAGCCACTAATAGGAATTTTCTCTCCTGGGTTCCAAGAAGTTAGCCAGGTCTTTCTGTTCATGAGCTCAGTGGCTTCTGTGTTACATGTCTACTAATGGCTCTGCCAGAAAGTCATTGTGTGAGTCAGCTCCCAAGTTACTACAACAAAATAACCGAGACAACTGATAAAGAGAAACGGTTTATTTAGCTCACTGTTTAAAGTTTCTAATCTAAGATTGGGTGGCCCCATTGATTACGCCTTTAATGAAGGTGGCAACTGGCAGTGGTGGGAGACAGACAAGAGGAGAGGTAGACTCCATAACTCTTTAAAGGTACGAGCCCAAAGACCTAAAGATGTTCTAGTAGACCCCACCTTTTACGGGTCCACAACACTTCCCAGTATGCCCCCTAGAAACTAAGCGTTAGCTCATGGGCTTTCTGGTGACCCCATCCAAACCATATCAGCCACGAAGGCCAGATCTGGGGGAGAAAGATGAGAGAAGGTAGAGGAGTTTGGAAGATGGAGATAGGCAGCCAGTTAGCATGAAGATACCTTATAACATTACCATGAATTTGGGAGGACACATACATCTGGACCACAGCGGTGGCAGAGAGAGCTTGGGCAGCCATGATTTAAAATGACTCTCCCATGGTACAGGAGACAAGAAGGAAGAGATAAGAGAGGAGTTGACTCCCAAAGGGGCCCTGGGAACCAGCCTGTGGTACTAAGAGACAAACACATTAGTCAACCATAAGTTGTCACCTCCAAAACCATCTTTGAGTTTGTTGCTTTGAATGGCTACCAAGCAACTTGAACTTACGTCAACTTTTTACCAAGATTAACTCCATCTTAAAAGTTGACTTTTAATAAAATTATATCCATCCATTTTAAAAAGTAGAGTTAAAAGATGTTCAATTCTGTCCTCATGGCATCAAGCCTTCTCAAACTGTCCATCCTGTTTGTGAATGGTATAACTGGCTTCCAGGAGCAACAATGACACCTGAGGACATTCTATTCAAGCAAGCCAGTGCCCAGTCCAGCTGTGGTTCTGGAGGGTGTGAATAGGGCAAGGGTGACTCCTGGTGCAGACCCCTCAGGGTCCTAACATTGAACTCACCTCCATTTGTCCTTCCATACTGAGCACATCAGCAGGCTGTGGACCTCAAAGGTCACTGGTATAAAGTGAGTTGCACTAGAAATCCAAAGTTCTTTTCTATCCCAAGTGTCTACTGTGTCTTAATAAGGGACATTCTCCTCATCTAAAAGGACATTACAGAAAGCATGCACAGTGCAATCAGGCAGGGAGGGACAAGCATGCACACCATTTTTCAGGTACTGAGACCCTCCTGAAAAGCAGACTGGAGACCTGGCAGAAGCAAGGCCAGAGCCAGGCTTTTCATTCATTCACTCACGCAACCAAGAGCAAATGCCTGCTGTGTGCCTACACTGTTCTAAACAATGGAGACACAGCAGGTGCACAAATCAGCAAACTTTCCTCAGCACTTTCATCCTAGTGGCAGGAGCCATTATACATAAGATAAATCAGTACAGTACTTAGTATTTGACAGAGAGAAAAGTGCCCCAGAGAAGGGCAGAAGAAATGTGTGTGTGTGTGCGTGTGCATGTGTGTGTGCGTGTGTGTGTAAGCAGCAAGATTCAGGCAGAGTATGAGGCAGGCTTGGCCATGTGTTCCAGTTCCTGAGTCACTCAGGAAGCCCCTTGTCCACATGGAACTGCTCACACATGTGGCAGTCTGGGAAGGACAGGAGCTCAGAGTCAGGGAACTTGGGTCTTGTTCTGTCATCTCTGCTTCTGAGCAATGGTCTGAGGAAGCTGTGAAGCTCTTTGAACTTAGTTTCTGCTGCAGTAAGGTGAGGATTAGGTATCAGCACCAGGTGCTGTTGTGTGAAGGGGTGAAAGAAAAATGCCAAGTGCACAGGGAAGGTCTCACATGAGCTGAGATGCCCTTTCCCACCCTGCCCAGGACAGCAGCCTCAGCAGCCGCCTTCTGTGGACAGGGCTTGTGCTCATATCTTTTTGCAGACCCCAGAGCAGATGGTAGGTTGGATTACTGGCCTGTGTTCCTCACACACTCTTGGTATCACCATCAATGAGGCTTGCTCTACACATCAGTACCAACATGGAGCCTGGACTTGATTCACCCTGCCGCTGGAGCCACAGCCAGCTAAGCCTGTTCACCTGGCCTTGCTGCAGACCCATGGCCAAAAAACACCTGCCCGAACTCATGTGCCCCTGAGATTTCCCTGATGACAAGACTAATGAGTCCAGACAGTGACCACAGACCTGTCCTCAGTGCCCATGGTGTGCCAGGCAGCAAGCAGGCCACTCTTCACACAGCTGCTCTATTACACTCAGACATGGTCAATTCCAGTTTGCTGATGAGGAAGCTGAGGCTCAGCAGGTCCAAGGCCATGGCTCCAGCACTAATGTAGGCTTATCTGCCTACACAGCTCATCCTGTGCCCCAAATACATTTCTGTGCAGAGTAAAATGAATGCAGCTGGGTGCAGCCCCGCTCCCTGTGCCCATGGCTTCACTAGCCTGGGTAAGCAAAGCAGCACATTCCTTCATCTTACAACTTCATTTCCTGAAAAGCCTCTCACAAGAGCTCCACTGTCTTTTTCCAGTCAGGATTGAGCTGTTCATCCATAGATGCCAAAGATCACAGGGTTCTCAGACCTGGGACATACTCCAAACAGGCCAGGAGCCACCTCTGACACCACAGGACACTGTACCCAAGACTTTGCCCCTTCATACTGCTAACTGTGTGACGTCATGTGCCTGGAAAGATGGTGGCGCTCCCGGAAGTACTCATGGCAGACAGGACAGGTGAGGGCCTCTTGCCTACATATCTTAGGATGGGGATCCGGCCCTGCAGGCTCCTTCTTATGGTGGGAGCGCATGTGGAAGACGAGGTCAGAGGTCAGACGGAAGGAGCAGCTGCACCGGGCACACCAGTTCTGGGTGGACAAGCCCAGGGAGGTGAGTGTGGGTGGCAGGAGGGCCTGAGAGGCCGGTGAGTGGGATACTGAGGGTATGGGGTCTCCCAGGGCCTGGACAGGCTCTAGCCACAATGTGGGGGCACCCTCAAAAGCGCTACAGAACAGAGTGTTCTGCGACAGCGTTTGCAAGTTCCAGAGGTCCCCCACCACCAGCTTGGAAGCTGACAGTCCATTCCAAGTAGGGATGTCCACAGCTCGAAGGAGTCCAGACAGCTCACCCAGGGTGTCCTGGAAGATAGGCCTCTCTGCTGGGCGCTTGGTGGGTTTTCTGAAGGCACTTTTCTGCTCCCCACGGGCTGCACCAGGCCACACAGAGCAGGCTGGTGCCCTGGGAATGTCTGGGGTCAGCTTCTGGGGGCCAGGGTGGCCTGTGGGAACCTCACACTCCTTGTCCTGGGTGTAGCCACTCCCCAGCCGCTCCAGTGCCCTTGGCAGCTCCATAAAGGCACTCAGCCTCTCCCCACTGCACCCCTTCTGGGGTAGCGGCTTGCCTGGTCTGGGCTTGCTGGGTGATGTTGACATGGCCAGATCAGCACAGGACACATCCCGGGCACCCCTGCCGGTACCAGCCTCAGAGCCCAGGCAGGTTGTTTTTTCCAGCGACACTGGCTTGTGGCCCTTGCGTTGCTCAGGTTCACTCAGCTGCCATCTGTTTTCAGCTGAAGGGCTCAAGGGAGCCCCTTTCCCAGCAGCCATGGTGATCAGCAGGGCCTAGGAGGGGTGAGCAAAGGGCCTGCTTGTGGCAGTCATCAGTTTGTAGGGTGTGGGCTCCGAAGGCCTGGCTCACCCCAGGGGAGCTGTGAGATCAGGGAGCTGTGAGATCAGTGCTGCCAGTAACATTTCAGGGCCACTGGGATCTGAAGGGAGGAAGCAACAGGCAATGAGATGATAGCACCAGCCATTGAAGGAACCATCCTGTAGAATGAAGTCAGACAAACCCCAGATTTGCAGGCCTCCTTTGCTGTCTGTCTGTGAACTGGGAGGAGTGGCCATGCTGCCTCTGAGCAGAGGACAGCTCAGAGGGCTTTGCAACCAGAGTGCACAGCTGCGCAGCAGCAGAGGGAAACATTCAAGGAGCAGAAGCTGGCAGAGGAAGATACCCTGGCAGGGTAAGGCAGAGACTCCAGGCAGAAACAGAGACAGAGGCAGTTCTAGAAGTCTGCTTTTGTGAGTGCCTTTATAAGGAGTGGTGAAAAATACTGTTGCTGAGTGCCCAATGGAAAGGCAGCTCATAAAAGCATTACATGGTGTCCTCACCCACCTTACTCACTGTGTCTGGCACTGAGTGACTTCTAGCTCTTCCCCAAAGTCAGAATGACCATAAAAGGAACGCATTTTTAACCCATTTCGGACACTGAGGCAGCCATGGCTGCACAACTAGACCCTCAGAAAGGTGGACTTCCTGAACTACTTCCAAAACTGGCAAGAACAATGGGATGAGTGTGTCTGAAGGGTGGGGGATATGTTGAGAGGGATTCATGGCAATCTATCTTTTACTTTGCTGGAATAATTCTGATTTTAAACATTCACCGCATATTTTGAGCACACCACCCACGTACCTACTTGTGCTAACAGGAAGGCTCTCTCTAAAACCCTGAACATGTCAGTTCCCCTCCGAGTTGGCAGCACATCACAGTGCCCACAACAGGACAGGCACCCAAGAAACCTTTGCGGATGGATAACAAGGCAGCAGGATGTGGATGAGCAACTGTCAGAAGTCCACTTTGTCCTCGCAAGGGTGTGGCCCACCCCAGAGAATGTGAGTGGGCCATGTCCACGCAGGCCCAAGGAAAGAGAGCTGCACTGAGAGAGGGCCGGGAGCCTTCGAGGCTCCTACCCTGTGCTCCTTGGGGTCCTTCACCTCTGCCCATCAGCAATAGAATGACAGCCACTGCTGTCCAGCTCCGACCTAAGATCAAAAGAGGGCCCCACACAGTGGGCTGAGCTCCTCACATCTCTCATGCCTGCTTGCCCTGGTTCTCCCACCGCACTGGGAACCAGCCTGGTTTCACCTTAGGGCTGTAGCAGCTTCCAGCATCAGCATTCTGTGCTGCCTGGGGAGAATGCAGAATGACCCAGGGTGCTGGGAGTCACTGTGGAGCGGGGGTTACACGCAGACTCTAAAAGCGCTCTTCCCTCAGTGTTGGACTGAGCTCACTCTGATGGAGGCTGAAGGAGGCAGAGTGAGGGTCAGAGCTCCCTAACGGAAGAAGACAAACATGTTCATTGCAGTATTGTTTATAGTTGCAAAAAGCAGCAAATAAATGCTTAATGCAGAGCCATGGTGAAGAAGCCAGGATGCATGCCCAGGATGAAATGCTAAGCACCGTGGAAAAAACTGTCATGGTTTGGGTCATAAGTGTCTCTCACAGGCCGGTGTGCCCACAGGACAGAGGACACCATGCACCCTAAAAATTAGTTTCTATTCACACTTGGCCAGGCCAGACCCACTTTGAAATCCAGGGAGACAGAGGAGGGAGATCCAAGAATCCTTTCTCTGAAGACCCTTATACTTCTTGACAGCCATTAACTCCTCTGGGTGCCCATGAGGTTGGCATAGGACTGCACTTACCCTTCTTGTCTTACCCTGGCCATGGAAAAAATGGAAGGGCTGAGCCCATCAAGCTATGCCTAGCCTTCCAGATAGCCAGACCCAGGGGAACAAGGACTCAAGCCCAAGCATCTTGGAGAACCCAGTGCAGACACCCACAGAAGTTTCACCTACTCTTTCGAGGCCAGGGGTCAAATCATGCTCAAAGACTAGATTTTCCTCCCAGTGGAAATCATAACCAAGTACACTGCCAGAATGCATGACTCTCTCCTGCTCGGTGGACTTCTGGATGACCTCCTGAGGTTTATCCACAAACCCAGGGAATAGCCATCACCTGCAACATGCGGAGCACAGACCAGCTCAAGGCATGGATAGCCCTGACTATGCTCAACGACGCCGCTGGACTTTGGGCCCTGGACGGAGAGCCCCAACCAGTATCATGGCATTCAAGCATGGTGTACAAAACCTTCAGGACTGGCTGGCTGAACTAAAAGGCTCCCCTCCAGTCCCAGATTCTCAAACCAGCCAAAGGGAAGGGAAGGTTCTTGTTCCTCATGACGAAAAGCAGCCACCGGAGGGTCTAGCTTGGTTTGATGCTACATGGAGTTCCTCCTAACCAAACCCACCTTTTGTTCCTGCCATGGGGCTCTCAGACACAGCCCATGCCCTACTCTTTCCAGCTCAGTTCTTCAGTCAACCCCAGTGCTACGATCATTCCCATCACACCCAATCACTGCTATAACCATCTAACTCATTCCTTCTCAGCTGAGTTGGCCATAGCAGGTCTCTGCTGCTTTCGTTCAAATAACTCTTATTGTCCGTGATACAACAACTCATGCTTGCTGGGATAATAAGGCTGACAGGATTCCAAAGAGGAGGAATGACAGCGTCACATGCACACACACAGGCACACACACACACACACACACACACACACACACACACCAGATGCCAGTGAGTCCGCACTGGCCAGCACCTGTCTGCACCCAGGACACACCTGTCATGTAACAGCCTGAAGGCCTCACCTGCCAGCTCAGCTTGGCTGACAGTTCTGTCTTGTCTGTCCCCTGGCAATCGTGGTTCTCATTCCTCACTGGTTGGCATGCTAATTCACTGGCCCCTCAGGAGTGCCAGGCTATATCAGAGACGGGGACAGGATCTTCTGCAGGGACAGGTGGCCAAGGATGAGACCTGGAGGGGAATACACCCAGCTTAGCCAGTCCCTATAGGCCAGAAGCACTCACTCTCGATCCCTCAAGCAAGGATCTACTAGTTTCTCTGCTCACTGGGCAAACCCCTGTCAGGGCCTGCTTGCGCTATGCTGCTGGGCACCCACAGGAGAACTAGCCTGTGGCTGTGTCCTGGAAGTGCCGAGGTTGGGTGGAGGTGGCGAACCATGACTGTCAGTGAAGGCACCCAGGAGGGGTGTGCATCTTCCCTGCCGGGGTGGCTCCAGTTGCCTCACCCTCTGGCCGTCTTCCTGTCCTGGAACTGGGAAACCTATCCTCCAGCGCCCCTTCAGCTGGTGAGTGGCAGTGATACAATCAGACTCCATGGAGCAATGGTGGGAACTTAAATTGCAGCCGGCTTTTTGTTTCACTGAAAGCTCTAAAATGTTCTCCATCACTGCCATAGAACATTCCGAAGTCTTCCCCATTAGGAAAATTTCCACAAGGCTTGTGGTGACTCTAGGAAAGAGTGACTGGGTGACTTCCAGAGACAACATGTACAAACATCACTTGGGCTCTATCCTTCTGTCCTCTCCTTGGCTCCTCCCCCAGCCCTGAAGAAAACACATGGTACGGGCATCCAGCCCTGCTTTTCCTCTGGGGCTCCAAAGATGAGACAGAAATCAGCTCTTAGACAGAGGGAACCATGAAGTTTCCCAGAAAACAAACCTCAACATTCCCTCTTTTGCTAAAAGATTTTGTGCAAGCACAAGTGCACACACACACACACACTCTTATACAAACACACATACACTGACACACACAGACCTCACAACCTCATAAGCCCTCGTTCTCTTTTACTCTTTTAATGTCTCTCAATTTCTTGTCTCTCTTCCAATCTCTCTCCTCGCCTTGCCACACAGTATAGTCCTTAAGCCTACACAAGAGCCTGTCCCACTGTCCCCTGATCCCACAGCACCTTCTATGACCACCACCACCTTTGTAGACAAGCTATGTGGCTGCCCTCAGGGTTCAGGTGAGCTTTGGTAATTGGTGTCCAAACTGTCCAAGGTGCTCGGGGCCAGGGATGTGAACCCGATCATCTTGGCACTAAAATGGAGATGAGGTTTCACAGCAGAAAGAACACAAGTTATCAGGATGCTTTCTGATAGAAATATAAACTTCCTTCATCAACTCCATACTGTCTGCTTGCACTTAATTTCACTATATGGCTTAATGCACTTGATTTCATTTAATTTTCACAGCCAGCACCTGAGGGAGACTTTGTGCGTGCACTGATCTCTGATCTGCCACAAGCCATCTTGCTAAGCTCAGTGCCACTTCCCAGCTTTCTGAGTCCCCGGTGGATCTGGACAGCACCAACTGCTGAGTTCTATCCCATTCAACTTCATGCTGCATTAATTACACACTCCGAATCTTACAGAGGAGGAAGAAGAAGAGAAGGAGACACATCATAATAATGAAAAGAAAGAGAATGAGAAAGAAAGGAGGAGTTGAAGATATGACTTGGATGGAGACCTCTGCCTGCCACCTGGGAGTCCCCAAAGGGCCACCTCTGTCTCACAAATCATCGCTGCTTGGGACAGGTCACTCTGGCAAGTGCAAAGGTGTCTCCAAAGCTCCAAAGCTCTGTGGCCCCTCTCCAATTCCCATCCACCCCGAAAGCTACCAGAGGGAAGCCCCTCCAGATGGAAAGTTAAGTGGCTTTGCCATGGCATGTTTCTAGGGAGTCCCTTCCACCAGTCAGTGGTCATACTTTTCCTTGTGTAGCCCTCATTTCTATCCCAGGACTTTTCCCAGTGGAAGCCTCACTTCACACCTTATCCTTCTCCTGGCTTGTCCTGGGTCACCCATGACCCCTGGTGCCTCTCAGATGACCTGGAACCTCATCTCTAGGTTATTCCATAATGTGGTCAGGGATTTCTGGGTCAGGAGCCTGATGATACAAACAGCTCTCAGTGCTGTCTCACTCCTCTCCTCTGGGGACTGCCACCACCCTGGACACCTGCAGGGTCATCCTCTGTCCTGACATTCTCTGGGCTGAGTGGAGCTGCTTGCTCCTTCTTCTTTGTCCTCCCCAATACCAGCTGCCCTAGGCAGCAAGGGGTCTGTGCTCTCCTTGTTCATCTTGCTCCAGACCTCATACAAAAAGGTGCTTTGTTGTTGTCAGCTGTTCTTGATGGCCTCGGTTCATCCTGGCTCTCGCCCTGACACCCCCCATTGGTCCTTGTCACTCCATCACTGTGTGCCTGCTGAGAAGGGCTCTTCTTGTCACCCTCGATTCTCTTCACTCTGGCCTTAAGCAGATATCCCCCCGAGTCACACAGACCTCACTCAGAACCGGCTTGTGCTCTTTCTGTTTGGAAGAGGCTGACTGAATTCCAAGACACTCCAACCATTTTCAATGTGTTCTGGGTCACATTTGTGATCATGGGATCATAAAGTGACAATCTTGGATACATTCTGACATGGAGTTCCCAGAGCCTATAACCTGATGGATCTGGTCTTTCCTACCATGGGGGATAGTTCTTGCTAAAGTTTCCTTCCAGCCCTTCTGGCCCACCAACCATGGTGAATGCACTACTGACCCACATGGCAATGACATGCCCTGGGAGATGAAGCCTCTCCAGCCCAGGGTGTTGAAAGCATGTGTATCTTTGCCTCTTACCTGCCCATGGGCACCCACTGCAGGCCAAGCATTCCAACAGCTGGGAAGCTCTGGCTACGTTCTCCCACATTACCTGGCTATACGTCTGTGCCTTAGCCCAACTGTCCCAGCTAACCATCCTACCTCCACAGAGAGGCCAAGTGTTGGGCTCCAGAGATAGAAGGTCCAGATGCCAATCAGGCTCTGCCCTTCCCATCCTGTGACCTTCTCTTTCCAAGCCACTGTCTTCCCATGTGTAAAAAGGGTCACCTAGATACACGTCTCACTGGATAATGCTAATAAGTGAGACTCAATAAATGTTTTGTAGATAAATTATTAGCACAAAGGAATGGCCAACCTTCCTGTTACTTGAAAGCTCTCAAAAGCCAACACACAACAGTGTTCAACAGATGACCAAATGACATGGGCTTCTTTCTCCTTCCTTTTCCACTTACAGACAAAAGAAAGCACGGTAAACACCCAGATGACACTGTTTGTGTGAGAGGTCTGAAGCCACTTGTCTGTCATACTAACTGGCCAGTCTCCATCTGCTCTGAGCCACAGCTCTGAAACCACATGTGCACTCCCAGGCTGTCCCTTGCTGCGTCTACCTCTCTTCAGCTGAAACAAACAACAGCAGAAGACATCTCTTGTTGTTCCAATCTTTGTGGAGCCCCCTTGTCCCTGCAGAGGTTTCCCAGATGCTCTGGAAGATTCCAGAGTATGGTCACACATTATCTTCTTCTACACAGGGAGTGTGAGCTACTGGCTTTTCCCAAGAAGGGGAATACACTTGTGTCTGGGAAGCCTCCTCACCTGAAAGTTAACCCTGAAGAGTACTCCAGGCTCCGTTGGAGGCTGGCTGGTTGATGCTATGGAGCTGGAGAAAGGAAGGCTCCCTGGCCAGCTTAGGACTCCATGCCAGCTATGACTGTTCCCCTCTAGCATCAATCCCTGCTGTGCAAGCAAAGGCAAATCCAAGTCTCTTAACACAGCCAGTCTCTGGTCCACAGAGAGGCTAGCCATAGGAGCTCACATAAGGGCAGACACCCCTCATCACCCGCTCCTGAAAGGGGCTCTGCCATGCAGATTCAGGCTGGCCATTCCAGACGATGTCCAGGACACTAGAACAGGAAGTGGGGTTCCAACAACAGCATCAACTGGCAAAAACCTGTACTATCTAGAACAAGATTCTAAATAGAACCTTACCAGAGCTGCTGCCTCACAGAGTCACATTACATGAAGGAGTCAGCTCTAAGCACTCAGGCTCCATGGGACAACTTGGGGTATAACCTCAGCCAGCCACTCACTAATTGCACAGCTTGGCACAATCACTCTGGACCTTAGTTTCCTTGTAAGTAAGACTGGGGTGCTGATCTTCACTTCACTGCCTGATTTAAAGAAGGCTCCGTGCACGAGAAATAGCAAGGCCCCAGTAAATGACAGCTCTCATTCATAAGACAGAGAATAAAATCAGGTCCCCTCGCCAGTGGTCACAACTGTGGCAGCCTACAGAGCATGGTTCATGATTTACACACCAGATCACTTGGTCAGCCCCACCTACATGCCAGCAAGAATATTATCTAAGAACAGAAACACAAGGGCATTCTTGAAGAGATTCAGGCTACACAATGAAGGAAAATGAATGTTGACGTGCTGATGCTCAAGACTCGGCTTTGTACTTATTTTTTAAAAATTGGTCAACTGTTTTAAACACTAGTTGCCACCTCCTGGATTTCTGAGAAAGAAATCTACTAAGGAAAGTAGATATGTGAATCTAAACCATTTGAAAAGCATCCCTTTCACCACCCATCTTCCAAAGTCTAATATATTAGAGGTCAATGCTTACATGATTCAAAAGACCCCAGAACTTGAAATTCAGAACAGTCTCCCAAACCTAAGTTCCATCAACAGACACACCTCTGGCTTTGTCGAACTATCCTTAATTGAACATGGTCAAATTAGTCCATTAAACACACAGCCATCTTCCTTCAACATATTTAATTTCTGTTCACTTCTGTGTGATTTACCTAGTGACAAACTTCCTATTCTGCATCAAAAGAAAAGTTAAATTGGCTGACTTATCAAGATCACAGTAAACTACAAGATCAGGTTAAATAATTTCCAAACAACCAAAGCTTTAAGCTTTAGTTGGTAATGAACAGCTTAGCATATATATTTTGTGTGCATTTCTGGTAAACAGGTACACAGATCATAAAAGTATCATTTAAATGACAATTATGTTCCTCTGACATGATTACATTTTAAATGGAAACCAGAAAACCACCTCAACATACTTTATTCCTCAAAATTTAATGACACTTGCTTTCCTAAATTTTTCAACTCAGTAGGTTTTTAAGATAATCTCCTCATTAACATGAAATATTTTCAGGCTGGTCCTCTTACCTAATGTGCACACAAACATTAATTTCAAATTCCCACAATCATCATCCTAAAATATTTCACCCAACAGTTATTTGTGTCACCGTCTGTCCATCAGTGACACCCGACAAGCATTTATTTTAGAAATTTACCATTTACTTCTTATTTTCACTCACACCCAGAGGCATCAAGTGTTCAACCCTGGCCTCTCATTGTTTTCCCAAACCCAGCTCTGAACCGCTCCCTCCGCTGTGTCCCCCAACCCGGCACCGCACAGGCTGCCTAGAAGGTGGGCACGGTGGCGGGCTCCCTGGACAGCCAGCTGCACGGATTCGCTTCCTGGTGCACATTATTGAGGAAACACGTTCAGAGAAGGATCCCATCAACGCCTTGCCTCCAAAACCAGGTATTTTCTTTGTGTTCCAGAGATGTATCATTTGATCTTTATGCGTTTTTCCCACAACAGGCACGGAACACGTTACACGTGCAGACCTTTGGAAATAATCTGTTGGAGGAAGGATCTGGGGCTGCTGCGTGGTTCTTAACCAAGTGCCTAGCACAGCCCTGGCTGAGCCCGGCTGAGCATACGGACGATTCCAGATGAAGGGACACAGGAAATCCTGCGTGCAAGGATGGACAGAACGAGGCGTGGAGGCGTGGAGGGGCAGAGGCTTAGACAGATGTATGGGGGAGGGAGAGGTGCAAAAAGTCAGCCTAGGGGGAAAATCAAGGCAGAATTTTCCTGCGCAGAAAAGAAATGGAGAGAGAGGGAGAGGGACGAGAAAAAGCGAAAAGGAGGGCATAGAGAATAGACAGACAAGAAAAAAGTGGAACAGAAGAGAGAAGACAGGAGAGCGGGGGACGGCACCGGAGAGGAGACTGGAGACGCGGAAGGGCAAAGTCCGCAGGACTCGGATTCAGCCCCGGGAAAGGTCGGGTCGAGGGCAGGACCGGGACGAGTCTCACCTGCTCCGGCGGCGGGAAAGGTACTCGGTGCAGGCTGCAGCTCGGAACTCAGCCTGGAGCCCCGGAGCCAGTCCCCGCCTTCCCGGGTGCTCCC